AAAAAATGCCTGAATGACTCTTTGATTTGTGGCCCATAGGTCAGATTGGGACCCTAGAAGCCACTCGCCTGAGCAACGAGTCCACCATGAAAGACCTGCGCTCATCTCTTGCCAAACTGGAGGACAAACTGCAATGGATGGAGAAGGAAAGAGACAGCTTGGAGAACAGCAAGAAGAGTCTGTCAGAACGGCAACATAGCCAGCTGAAGTCTCTTGAAAAGGTGAAGAGTGTTAAACAGACTGTCTCTCCCCTCCCCATCTATGGCTGGATACTAGGCAGAACCTGTAGATTTTATATCCTATTCACAGAGCCAGTGACAGATGTATTACATGTGTGTATGGTTCTTAGTGTGCTCAGTTAACTAGGGCCGTTTTCCAGAACTTAACTTTGTCTCCGTCTCGGGCTTCGTGTAGGAAACCAATCCACGATTGTGGGCCTGAAGCGTTTGATTTAAATTGAAGTACTGTAATGTTTGGCTCTCTTGCACCTTACTTAATATTTTGTGGCACTATTAAACTTGCTATTGCGCTTACAACCTTAAAGTCAGTAAGTTAAAAAAAACTGTTGAAGCCTGAGATGGAGCCCAAGTCGGGTATTGGAAAACGGCCTAGGATTTGTCTGTGGCTGAAGTACTTGCACTTGTGAATACTTTTATTCAAATACTGGCATCAGGAAGCACTGGGGATCAAGCATCCAGTGACGTTGCATTCTGTATACTTCAGCACAGAGTCAATAATCCCCATTTGTAAAATTAGGTTTAGATTTTTCTGCTAATAGACCCCAGCACCACTCAAAAGTCCCGGTAAGTCTTGATGAACATGTAAAGAGGGGACTGTGAAAAACTTAATTCCAGGGTTGGAAAGGAAAATTCCACGTACATTCTGAGCAAGCTCCATGAATGAGGTAGGAAATGAAGACCAAATCTGATTTGAATCTTGGTCACTAGTAATGGCAGGTAAGTTAGGCATAACTGTATCCAGCTGACCTCAGATTTAGAAGCAATTCTAGTGGCATCAGTGCAAAGGGAAGATTCCTGCATTTCAGCTTTTAAGAGAAAGAAAATCTGTCCATGTTATCTCCAGGCTTTGGAGGAGCTATCCATTGAGAAGCAAGTGATGAAGGAGCGATACGAGAAGGAGCTAGAGTCCATTAAGATCAGCAGTAAGGAGGAACGAGACATACTGACAAGGGACCATGAGGCACTAGTCAAGAAGATGCAGGGAGAACATAAGGAGGCTAGAGAGTTAGCAGTCACAAAGGCCGCCCAAGAACTTGCCAGTCTAAGACAGGTCAGTACAAGCAGTGATGTTTGTACAGCTAATCATGGTTTGTCTCAAGATGTTTCAGAAGCCAAAAATGAAGTAGTGACTAGAGAACAAAAAATGAAGTCATGACTAGAGAACAGGTTTGTTGATGTGCAAGTAGGTCATAATATGCAGTGCGTCTCCTGTAAATGCCTATGTTTAACCCCTTGATGATGGGAATTTCTTCCCGAAAGCCGACTCCAAGAATTCCAGCCTCGCTTGGCCACGAAGGCCACCTGCCAAACCGCAAATTCTCGGTTTGTGGCCCTGCCTGTTCTGCACACTTTGAATTACATGGTGAAAAGGCTGATTGTTCGGTGGCATGCGGCTCTATTCACGCTTCCACATTCCCGTTGTCTCTTTTCAAAGTGGGGACTGTTGTGAAGCTGATGATTATGATGCAAAATCGGTCTTTTCATTTCTGGGCTACGCATAAAGATCAATTACCATATATACAAGAGCCAGGGTCTGCCTTCCTTCACCGTGTTCGCTCGAGCATGGGCTGAGAATAATAGCTGAAAAGCCGGCCAATGATCTCAATTTTTACGGCAGCTATAGCCGCTTCCGGCGCGAAGGGGTTAACAGACAGCAAGAATAAAATAACTGTAATCAGATTATAGGAGCAAAACGTCAGAAGCCAATAATCCATTTCTCGAGGATACAGTTCTTGTGGACTTGTATGAAAGACAGTGACCAGTCTTTCTATCTCTACCAAGCTCTGATGTTATGTATTACTAGTAATTGTATTTATCTGCCAGGAGTTGGAGAGCTCCCTGGAGGAAACCAGCCAACGACTATCCCAGGAACGGGACGCCATCCAATCCCAGCTGGACCAGACTAGAGAGGAGCTGACCGTCCGTCTACAGTCAGCTGAGGCTGAGTGCAAACGCCTGCTGTCCATCCTACACGAAAGCAAGCAGGGCCTAGGCTCGGCCAACTCAGAGATCACCAGCCTGTCGAAGGTCAACCTGGAGCTGAAGGCAGAGCTGGAGGGTGTACAGAAAGAGTTACGGGAAGCCAAGAACCAAGGGCTCATGTTCAGGGTGAGGGGTTTGCCAGTTCTAAAACCATTCCTGGAACTTAGTGCTGCTGTATACAAATCCTTGCTGATGTCACAGCTGCCAAAGTTAATCTTAACATTGACTGTGATTTGGTGGTTCTCCTCTTCTGTTTTTATTAGAAAGACGGTCATTATTGGTTTACCAACTTAACAAGCACATGTTAATAAGACTGAGCCACAAACTGTCATCTATCTTGCATGGATTTGAAGTACTCAAATCTTTGAAGAACGCTGAGTTTTTTATGTGATCATTGCTTTTATTTTGTATCCTTCCAGACGGAGCTAGACAGATTAAAACACACACATGAGAGCAAGATGGCAGAAGCAAAGGAGGAAATGAAGAGTAAACTGAACCAGTTGTCAAAGGATCTTGACGAACGCTGGACAGATACTCTGAGGTATAGTTGCCAGAATTTAAGAGAGGGTTTGTAACTTGACACTGGTTGATATTAAAACAAAGTTCACAAAAAAATTAATGTATACAAAGTGATCCAATATAAATCTGAGCAACTCGTCCCATTACCGCAGGAGAGAGTGTGACAAACTACAGAGTGAGCTGACTGAGCAACACAGTAGTGACAAGAAGGCTGCCCTCCAGCAGCTGGCCTCGATGAAGGAGCAAGAGCTGGTAGCCTCCAGGACAGGCTGGGAGAATAAACTCAAGGATCTTCTTCAAGAGGTACTCACCAGCACCTTGAGATACTTGTAACAGCCAAGACTGAGACGGCAGTCCCTTAAATTTGAGACAAAGTCATACCTCAAGTTTTTTTATATGTTCCAGTTGAAATTGTTCCTTTATTGCTTATGAAAGAAGAATATAGAATTAAAGTTAAACTATGAAAGAATGTTTTTATTTTTGAAAGTTAAAACTTGTGGTGACAAAAACAAGTACCAGCCAGATTGTTACATGGTGGACAGTGGTATTGACTGCTTATTATAGCCCTAACAGTCCCAAATCTTCTGAATTCAATATGATTTTACAAACATGTACACCCTAGGGGTTTAGGGTTAAGCTTAATATGCAACTTCTCCAAGCACTGTCTTCTGCTTAGTAGTTCCGTGAATAAAGGGCCCTGTTTCAACACTGCTCTTAGTCCCTTTCCGCGTCAACCTCATCTCTCATCCAACAACAGATCTCCCAGCTGAGGGAAGCCCTCCACAGCAAGGCGGAGCAGGCCCAGAAGGAAGTGGTGACCGTGCAGGGACTGGCTGACCAGAAGCTCAACAAGCTCAAGTTTGAGATGGCCGCGGCAGCTGAGGAGCATGCCCAAGCACTGAGCTTGCTGAAGGCAGAGAAAGAGAAAGAAGAGGAACGGTTGAGACAGGAGAAAGAGGCAGCAGTGGAGGTAAGGAGGAAATAAGCAGGGTCAGGATGTCCTGAAATCACGCCCCGTTAACTTCATATCCCTTGAAGCTTAGTTCTAATAGTCTTAAGATCAAGGTGTCCCTCCTAACCCCCCCCTATTGGTTGAGAACCAAGACAGCTATTTGATTAGTTAGCCACATGTTTTGAAGCTAATTGAAAAAGAAAACAATTTTCCTACAGGAACTGGAACAGCGTCTCACTCGACAGTACAAAGAAGATATGGAAGAGCAATTGAAATCCCACAGGGCAGCCATGGAGGCACTGAGGGAAGAAGCAGAGAGGTCCAGACAAAACGACCTCACCTCTAAGTCCACAGAGCACAGACAGGCGATAGGTGAGATAAGTCATATAGTAAAACCAGAATTACTTCCTCTGGTTAAGTCCTTTAAAATTACAGTTAGCCAGCCATTGCCCAAATAATATACATTTCAACCAGAAATCAACATCTTCCTCCTTTTCTTTTGGATGGAATTTTCTTTTTCATAAATGCACTCAGTATGAGTCAGACTTTATCCAGTAAGTGTTGGGAGTTACCTAATTTGAAGTTACACAATAAAAAATCTGAAGTGAAAAATGCCATCAGGAGGATAGCACAGTGAGTGCATGAATTCACCTGCAACCTTCTCTTATTTTTGTTTTTTAATGTCATCCGCATGATATTGCTATTTCATTGATTGCAGAGAGGATGAAATTGGAGCTAACACAGCGTCAAATTGCTGAGATGGACCAGCTAGCAAGAGCCCATCGCACTCAGATGGCTGCAGCAAAGATGGAATTGGAGAGATCCATAGAGCTCAAACAGCTACAGGTTAACTATCCTGTCTCTCTTTTTCACATCCACAGATTTGGATTCTTGTTTTGAATCCTCGTACTTCTGTGTACCCGCTCTTAATTTTATGATAAATCTGATACCTGATGACCAGAATCTGGTCCTCCCAGGGATCTACAAGCGGACTTGGTTCTTTTTCAGAACCTCTCAAACCTTCATTTGCAAAAACAACTGTCATATCTAATAAGGAACATATGCTGGTCCCACTACACACACCCCAAGATGTCGAGCGATGTCTGACTATGCATGTCCAACAGTGGAGTAGATTGTAATCTTAGACTCATAGGAAAGGCTTGTGTTTGGTACAGGGAACATCCTGTGTTCCAAGCATTCTATAAGAAATAAGAACCTTCTCGATGACATCACAAAGTGTCTCTGCTCGTTTCCAAACCAGGAGAGGGAGCACAAGGCGCAGGAACTAGAATTGAAGGAAGATGTGAGGCAGAGAGACAAACATATTGACACTGTGGAAAAACAGCTGGGTGAAGTCAACCAAGACATCAACAAATTAAACAAGCAGCTGGAGTTCAAAGGTCAAGAAGTGTTAAAAGTCAAGAGTGAGGCTGAAGAACAGCTCAGGTGAGTTTAGCCAATCCTTTGCTAACACACAAGGTCCGCAGACTGGCCTGTGTTAACTTAAAAACAGCTGGTTGCTAACATGTTTTTGTTTGACATAGGATGAAGGAAAATGTTCCAATTTGTCCCTATTTTTTTTAGGAGGCAAGAGCAGAGACTAGCTGAGGCCCACCACAGAGATATGGATGCCCAGGCAGCCGAACACCTGCGGGAAACCCAGAGCATGCTTGGAGAGTTTAACCGAGCCCAGGAACTCCTGAAGGACAAGATATCTGCCTTACAAATCATGTGAGTCAGGCAGTGCACAAGACAGTTTAAAGACAAGTCATGTTGAGAAGAATTTGAAGAATTTTCATTGCTTACTTACTATAAATTGTAGAAACTGATTAAAATGGAGATTGAAATGTGGATGAGGATGATGCACAGAATTTTACAAAGGCCATTTTTGCACTGGATTATGTGCAGTGGGAACAGAATACAGGGCCTGAGTTTTCCTTAGAATGTACACAAACCATGAGTGTCAGATTGCATCTAAAAATGGGCGCTTGGTGGCAGTAGTTAACACCTGCAAAACTCAAACACCTAAGATTAAGTTTGGCAGTCCTGAGCTGCATCATGTGAGAGTGATCTTTTTCCTTCTCTTCGTCAGGTTGGAGGAGGCAGAGGAGAGATACCAGAGTCGGGACTCCAGACCAGAAGATCTTGAGCACATCGCCCGTCTTAAGGAAACAGTGTCAGAGCAGGAGGCTGCCATGCAGAAGCTTGTGGTGTGTGCCACGTAGAAATGTAGTCCCAAATGAATGTGAAACGGATACCAAATGCAGAAATTGTTTTGAAAATGTTGAATTTGTTTCCCTTTGAATAGGACGAGAAGCGTTACTTCCAGTTGGAACTCATCAACCGAGAGACTAACTTCAACAAAGTCTTCAACACCAACCCTAATGTTGGCGTGCTCAACCCTTTTGCCCACAAGGTAGTATATGTAGTTTCATGTCATTCTGCTTGAATCATGATAGTTGACTAGTTTCAAATTTGAATGAAATATATTCATTTCCTGCTATTCAGCCTGTTATCCGTTTCATTTTAGAGCAGCAAGTCTATCAGATTGTAAACCTTTTAGTCCAACACTTTGCATATCCCTGGCCTTTTCATTCCTACCCAGGATAATCTGGAACTACGGAGATTTGTGTTCTCCAACGTCAATGCAGGATTTTCATCTTTCCAACCAAATTTTGTTCTCCAGGATTGTGTTCTTAGACTAAGCATTCCCTTTTGGGATCACAAAACAGTTATACTGAAGGGAGGGAAACATTTTCAGTATTTAAACAGTAGATGTTTTTTCTTCTACTTTTACAGAAGAAGAAATCCTTAGAGACCAGGGAGGCCCCACGCTACGTCAGTGCTCCAAGCCTGAACACGATGACTGTTAGTGGGTCTGGCTCTGGTGGAGGTAGCCCCAGCCATCAACGCCTGGATCCCCTGCCTGACTCGCCCATCCATGACATCCAGCTTAACCCTAAGAAACCTCTTCAGATGCCTCGTCCTCCCAAGACCAAGAAGTTCATCAATACGTGATGCGGGCAAGTCTTGTTTAGGGTCACACTTACTTTTTTTAATCTTCCTATTGTCATGCTTGGTATGGTGCATCTTTAGTGTTCCCAATGCAAATCTTATCTCTGACCGTGCTTATTGCAATGTGATTCTATGCAATTGTAAAAGTACCATTGGGTGACGGTTTAAGAAACCCACCTAACACCAAACCTAACCCAACTCTATAAAAAAACCAATCCTAATGGCACCTAAAACGTATCAATGAGTATTCCGTCCCAGTCAAATATTAACCCAGCTAACCCCAAATCGGCTTAACCCATCCCCCACTAACCCAGTGTTAAACCTTACCCAAACCAATTATAAACCAACCCAAATGGGTTTAATTCACACCACAATTGACCAGCTCGACCTAAGTAACAGCCCAACCCTTTTAAACCAAAAGCCAGCTCTGTTCTACGTAGGACAGTGTCCCTGAATATGTTTTGTAGCTCCTTACAAATTCTCCAGTTTTCAGCAGATTCCAAAGCAAAAGAGATTTGAGCATGTTTATTCCTCCGTGCGGCTTATCATCTATGCAATAAACACTTCAGCTTAAGTGTCTTTAAAAGAAATGGACTGTTTCACTGGTTTTGATGGATAAAATGTTGTAATTTTTACAAATATCAAGTGCAGCTATCTCACCCGTCCATTAATTTTGTCATCTTTTTTGTACATCTTTGCAAATATAACTCCTAATTTAATTAGATCATTCAGCCATAAAATTAATCTTTATTAATCAAACTCGAACCAAAATGTATTTGTCTTTTATACTGTTCTAGCATTTGAAATATCGTTATAAAAATTTACTGTACATATGTCATATATTCTTATTGATATTTGAATTTAATAAGATTTTAATTCTAGAAATGTACAAAGACAGTACCTGTATATAATTTCAATGAATATCTGTAGGATTCAAGTAGACACAAAACTGTATAAATCATAAAGACACAGCAGCACAGTATATTTGCTGTATTCAAATAATATCAGAATTTTTATTTTTTCTGTGCCCCATTACAGAATAAGTCACATCCATCCATAAGTATCTTATGTTCTTTTCAAACAATGCATTTGTTGAACTTGAGAAATAAAGTCCTTCCGTCCATTTGCTGTGGCAATGAACAAATCATTGTGAGGCTCTTAATTTTGTTTTGGTTGGTTTTTATCTACCACTGCCTTTAGGATTGCCCTTGAAAATTTCTCTTGTATGTCGTCAGCTGTTTGAGCAGTGCACCCAAGTCTAATGCACATGTAGCATTTTTCTACATTCATAGGCACATGTAAAAATGTACAATATCCCATGTTTGTTTTAGCATAAAAATTAGACACTTTATCAAGAGCAAAGACCTGGCTTTGAACTTTGAACTGCCATCTACACTTTATTTAAGCTGCTTGGGAAAATAGTAGCCAAAAATGACAATTGTACCTCATGTTTTGGGACCAAAATTTAAATAACATTGCAAGGAGTTAACCTTGCATTTTAATGAAAATAATGAGAAAAATTTGAAATTTCTCCAAGTTTCCAAGAAAAATGCATGAATGGTTGCTCATCCTTTATAAGAGCTGTTTTTAAAAAAATGGATTTAGGAGCACCAAAATAATTTTAGCTTCATTTGTTTTTGACCAAAATAAATAAAATTGCTAGGGGTTAACCTTGCATTTTAATAAAAAAAATGACATTGTGGCACGTCTCTGAACCTTTCTAAAAATGAACCATTAAGCAGCCAAACTTGCCAATTTGCCCTTTTTCTTTCAATCAAAGTTAAATGAAAGTGCAAGGGGTTAACCTTGCATTTTAAATAAAAATGACCAAATTTGAAAATTTTCCAAAAGTTTCCCAAATTCATTTCGAGCCACTCTTAACACTTGAACTGTTGTCTAATCAGCTGTGTTGGAAAGAAAAGTGGCCAAAACTACAATTTTGCCTTATATATTTTTGGGGCCAAAATTGAATAAAATTGCAAGGGGTTAACCTTGCATATTCAATTAAAAAGTGACAAAGTTTGGAATGTCTCCAGAAGTCTTCAAAATTTTTTTTGGGCCAAGATAAACACATTAAATCATTGTGTACCCTTTATTGGAGCCGTTTTGGGAAAATTATGAATTTAGTTGTCAGTTATGACAATTTATTTATTTCAAGACCAAATTTAAATATAATTTCAATGGGTTAATCTTACAATTTACTTAAAAATAAACCAAATTTGACTTTTCCCCTGTCTTTTCCAAAATTGTCTGCACTTTATTTGAATAATTCCTTTTTATTAAGTTTCACATGGGTCATTCTTTAAATTCGGGGTCCAAAAGTATGATATTTTTATGTCCCCTGTTACACCTGAACTGCGTAATTTGATCGGAACATATCATTGAAATTGATTTCAAACTATTTCAAGTTGTTTGGCTAGCAATTTGCATTAATTAATCACTCTTGAAAATTAGAGAATTCGTTCTGAACTTACAAATCATATGTCAGATGTGACAAGGACACGAAAAAAACTGGACTCCTAATTTATAGAATTACCCACGCACTACATATGAAATTTATACTTATAAATGTACATGTATTCTTGATTTTACAAATAAGTGCTGAGTAGAAACAAAACTGTAATCACAGCGACACTACAGAAAAAAAGTACATTGTCTTGTACATTCTGTACAATAATATACAATTTGCATGGTTGTAGTATCAGACAACTTTACTTGTGGCACCTGCTGTTGTGGTTAATTCATGGTTGACATCTTATTGCCGAGCACCTGTATGATTTTATCTTAAGGCTTGTTCCAATCCTGATACACTATGTATTGGATGCAGTACAACACACGTCGAACAGAATTTGAACAAAAATTGGCCTCTACGAGCCTGCTTACATCCACCATTTCATTCACACCTGTCCAAATCTGTGCATATGATTATGTATTTTAAAGACCTTCAGTATTCCACACAAAATTGCACAGGGTTAACTTGAAATATGAGATTCTTCTCTGGCCATTTGTTTGGGAAATTAATCTTCTTCAAGGTGTTTACCTTCGGTTGTTTTTTTCCTCCAATATCTGATATATCATTAAACTTTTCCTTGAAAATGAACTTGTGAAAAGTTACCAAACACTAAAGGGTAGGGATTTAGATCAGTTTGAGAAAGAATTCAGCAAAAGTTCATAGCTCATCACGGTGTGAAGGTGAGATTCATTGGAGATAGCTGACCAGATGTCCCACCATCATGACTGATGTTGAGTGGCTGACGAGTAATCGACCCTCCATCACCCCCATCTTTGCTATCTGCTGACCCCGCCTCCTCAATGGCACGCAGCTGCGATATCTCTGTCTGGATGGCTTTGCCTTCTTCCCTTGTCTTGGAAATCAAAAAGAAATGAAAGGTTGCTTTTACTTAAAACAAATTCATGAAACAAACTACAGTGTACAGTATACAGGGAAACTGACTACAAGTAGGTGCTTTTAAATGATTATAAAGATTAATCAAAAAAATAGCTCTACCAACTGAGCTATCCAGCTCTGTGTTGGTGGCTCTTCCCTTAAGTGTCAATATCTTTGTTCAGGGGGTGCTAGCCAGAAGCCATTAGACACCATGTAGCCAGGGATCACACCCCAATTATACAAAACAACCTGGAAAGTGGTGAACAGGGATCACTCAGAGAGGATGCAGCTTTTTGAACATAAATCATGATACGAACTATATAGGGAAACTGACTAGGTGCTTTTAAATGATTATAAAGATTTAAAAAAACTAACTGGAGCAGGATTTCAACCTGTGACCTCCAGAACCCTGTACCAGTGCTCCAACAACTGAGCTATCCAGGCTTATGTTGGCAGCTCTTCCCAACTGTCAATATCTTTGTTCGGGGAGCGCCAGCCAGAAGCCATTAAACCTGAAACACCATTTTTAAAAGCAAATTCTCCAGAACTGTATATTTTCCCATAACATCAAATTTCACGCATAGGAACTATCTAACACTGTGGGAACATGTACTTCAATTTTATAATCATAAATTTTATAATCTTGAGCTGTGGAACCACAGCCAAATGGTTTCTTATGCCATGTAATATGACAATGCGTGCGGTCTAAATTCCAATGACACCATATCTTACTGCCCTTTCACTCTTAAGATTTGACCCTTAAAACTGGTGTTACAATGCAGAGAGGAACCTCACGAGCTTTAAATGTATAACTTGAACATCTGAAATGATATTCCCAGCTAATTCCTACCACAGTGTATTCACAGCACTTGTGAGCATAGTTGCTGGCCTCTTCAAAGTTCCGTCGTTTCAAGTGATATGTCGCCAGAAATCGATAAGCATCACACTGCTCTTCAACCATCCCAGTCTTGACAAAAAAGAAACAAAAATTCACAGATGAGCAACAACATCTCAACAAGTTCATAGAAAGTCTAACCCTTCACTACATTCAACACTCAATGACCACCATTACGATTACCAATTCCAAAATCAGACTTCTCCGATCGTTATATTTTAAAACACTCTTTACCAAAAAATGTTACTTAGCAGGGACACATTCTACTGAGCAAAGGCAAGTTTACCAGCTCTACCCCCACAAGGCATCCTGCTCAGGACTGGTTAATACCATCTAATTTCAGCTTAGCACCAAAATTTAGAGAGCATCATTTACTGCTTGGCAGCTCTATGAACTCCGAACTATGACCTACACCTGAGTCCCACTTACCCCCATGGCTTCAGACTGCTCCACATACTTGGTGTAGAAGTTTGCTGCTTTCTCCTCCTCTCCCTGCCCCTCATGCAGCTTGGCTAGCTTGATCAGAGCAGTCCCTTCGATGTCTCCTACTGAGTAGGCTCGCCAGTAACACTTCTTGGCTTCTTGCATCTTCTCCAGCTTCTCATAGCTCTCACCTAATGCAACCAGCATCCGGGAATCGTTAGGCCTGCAGGAAGCAAGATGGGTAATAGTTTTGGTATTAACCTCAGCATTCTGCCTCTGATTTGCCATCGCTCTTTTTCCAAGTACATGATGTCTGACTGAAATTTGATCAGCAAAGTTTCCTCAGCAACCTGACTTCCAGCAAGTCAGCCCCACCCCCAAATTTTAATTCTACAAGATTATTTTAAATTACCAAATTTCAAGCTGTGATCCCTTTGCCATTTTGTCAGGATTTCATGACAAACCTTTTTTAATTTTAAAGATTTTAAAGGCAGCAAATAGATGACATGAAAATATCTCGTACCTGATTTGCTGTGCCTGTCTGTAGTAATACAAACTGTACGATGGCATGCGTAGGATTTCATAAGTTTGTCCAAGGCAGTACCAGGCACGGAAATCTCTCTTGTTCAACTCTGCCAACCGATAACAATACAAAAAGTATTAGTCAACATCTAGTTCACTGCAAAGATTTATGCAGAACTTTTGCTCTCAATTAAACAGGCTGTGAGTTACGTTAATCAACAAAAAAACAGAACCGAGAGGAGCCAGACGTTCAGCAAATCTGTGCTCAAGCAGCTGCAATACGTAAGCTCCTATCAATCATGACATCACTCTTTTACTCATGAATATTAAAATTTGTATTTACATACAGCCAGTGAGGCCCTGAAACACCGGTAAAACAGAACAAAAATGGGACAAAGATATCCAATCAAGAATGACATTTTAGTACACAACCCCTCTAAGTCCTCCTTACAAGCCTCAAATTTCTTTCAATCCAATCCAACTCCTAAATCTCCTCGTTCCTACCAATAGCCTGCCTGTAGGCTTCAATTGCAGCTGGTGTGTTTTTCATCTCCATGTACTCATGACCCATCAAAGTCCACGCCGAGAGGTAATGAGGATTGAGTTTCAGAGCTCGCTGGAAGTACAAGACAGCTTTCTCATGTTGAGATCTCAACGAGTAGTAATTACCTGTACAGGAGTGACAAAATCTGTTCATTAAAGCAAGAGAAATCTCTTCACCAACTCTACAGGCAATTGACTAGGTACTAAAATCACTCCCTCATGACCAAGAAATGTAACAATAACCAATCTTACCTATAACACAGCAGGTTTCAACTCTATACTTGTCCACCTCACACACTTGGTGTGCCAAAAAGCTCAGTTCAGCTTTCATTTCCTAAGAAAATTTAAACACCATAAATTTCAAAAAGGCATTAATTTTCATCAATACAAATTTCTTCTTGGAAAAACCCATGGATTAACCCTAACCGCCAAGCATATTGTTTGGCTTACAGTACTCAGTACTACAAAATACTAAGCAGCAGTCTGAGCCTGAAGGACCTAGCGCTACAGATTACTACTTCTGGCTAGGTTACTTCCATTGTTACTTGTACAGAGAACAATAAAGCCATGCATTCATAGTGCCACAGCATTGGTACATTGTCTTATCTATTGTATCTTATGGCTTCACAGAACAATAAAGTCATGTCCTCTTACCAGCGACAGCGCTCAGTACTACATTTTACAACAAGTGGTAATTTGTAGTATAATGGAGGGTTAGGGTTAAGAAAACCCGAATTTTAACTTTATTTCCATTGAATAGTGAGCATTATTCAGAGCTTCAACTGGGAATAAAACAACTTGGTCAGTTTCACACCTTAACATACAAAAGGTTGGAGTAGATGTCCATGTTTTCTAGACGATAGGGGTCAACTTTCTGCAGCTGCCCAAAAAGTTCCACAGCTCGATTCATATCTACAATAAGGAAAAATCCAGAGGATATTTTCAATGTTCAAAAATGACTGCAACATGTGCATTGACTTAGGTTACAGCACAACATTTGAAATGATAAAATACATGTAATGCAATAATTATAAGGGGTCTTGGTTGAAATCATGAATATTCACAACTATGCAAATGCCTGACCTCTGACACTGTGATGGGCCATAGCAATCTGGGAGATGATATAAGTGCTCTTGCTGAAGCCAGCCTCACTGAGCGCTGTGTACTTCTTCAGAGCCTCTTCGTTCAATTGCAGCTCAAGATATGCCCGAGCCAGGAAGAATTCCTTGATCCACAGATCGGGTACAGCCAGTGAATTGAGCTGGAGAAGAAATGATGATTTAAAAACAGATGAAAAAATACCTAACCTTCCCAACATCCACGCCAAAATTTACAGAGAGTTTGCTCTTACCTTGTCCTTGTCGGTGACCAGACTAGTGAGTTCTATCCATGCACCCCAGTGGTATGGTTCCAGCCTCACAGCCTCCACCAGTACATTCTCTGCATCCTTTAAAAGTTCCAACTTCTTCAGTACAATGCCATAACTGTGTGATAAGGATTGTACACTGTCACAATTTGTTTTCATTCATAAAACAAACTCATTAATTTCATCTCATTGCTGGCAATATAAACTTAGCTGAGAAATAGGTATTCTTGAACTTTATGTTCAGTGCCATGCTCCTGATAGTTTTTTCAACTTCATAATGCTGCCGATGAGTGCAGATGTTTAGATTAACAAAAAATTAAATTCACAATGCTTGAACAACGGAACAAAAACTTCCACAAATTCCTGTAGCAAGAGAGAAACTGTAAGATTTGCATTTCAGGCTGTTCCCACATAACTGACTCACAGGTACAGGCAGAACCCATCCAGTTTGTTCTCCGTATACTTCTTGCTCAGTTCAATGCGTAATGCTTTCAGTGTCTCATTCTTCATGGTCTTGTACTGGATTGGACCTGTCAGGTCTGCCACTTCATCATATTTCTTCTTCTCACCACCCTAGAAAATCACGAACATTTAACAAAAATTGACAAGCAAAAACTTCTGAGCAAGTCTGTTACAATAAGTCATTTTGGTATTTCAATATCAAAGCAAGGTCATTCAGGAACAAAACACGAGGTGAGTTTGCGTAGGGCCCGGCTGATAGGGTAGACCTTGCACACGTATCCAAATGAACTCAGACACACTTCATATTGGGCATGTGCTGTTGACATATCAAACTGGCTCATTATCAGATACCTGAGATTCTGCACTTAAGAAAGGGGAGCTCATATTAGCATGAAGAAACTGATATTGAGAAGACGAAGAAATTTGGCAAGAGTGGGAACAACACCAAAAACAAAACATGATTCCAGCCCAGGTCATGAACCCTAATAGTTCTCAATCTGTCTCCTATTGGAGGACAGAGGACTGTTAGAGTTCAAGGTGGAAAGGGGGAAGATTTCCACCAGGTCGTTGACCTATGGCGCTCCAACCTGACCCTGCTTACCAAATATCGTGCATAAAGATGGAGGAAGTAAACTTTCTGGCTTTGGCATTTGTCGGTGAAATGAGCAGCCCGGTCATACTCCCTGAGGTCAAAGTAGCACTTGGCAAGAGTGTACTCATCAAACTCAGCCAGAAAGTCCTGCAAAATAAGACGACGAGTTTTGAAGGACAAAAATGCAGGCTATGAAAGGGTAGAGTTGTGGCTGGACTTGGAAGAGGTTTCATCAACAGTACTAAAAGTACAGAGACAATGAACTAAGTGCTTTCAATGTGTTTAATGGGTCCATGCACAGACAATACAGGGATATGTACATCATCAACATGTTATCGTGAGACTCATTGGACAGCAAGAGAGAATTAGGTTTTTGAGTAAAAAGTCCACACTTTCAGAGGCCTAGAGGATGCTGTAGATAAATCTCAAGACTTTCAATTCCTTTTCAAAAGTCTTTCAAAAAAATGAATATGAAAGAGAAAGTGATCAGATGATGACAAAACTATCAAGAGTGTGTAACAAGATCAAACCAGCTGTGCAGCTGAGAATGAACGACCAATCATGCCCCAGCTGAGAATGAACGACCAATCATGCCCCAGCTGAGAATGAACAACCAATCACGCCCCAGCTGAGAATGAACGACCAATCACGCCCCA